GCATCTGAATAAAAGATGGTCACTTTTGCAGGTTCGCTCCTAGGAACATCCTTGCAAGTGAGAGAAGAAAGGCAGCCAGCGAGTGTGTGGGCACTGCCTAAGAAATGAAGAAATGGAAACACTTCAAACCGGCTGTGCAGGGTTCCTTGTCTGGAAGAACCGGACTTCTCTGACAACAACCCATCCCTACGAATCTGTGCAGGAAACCCGAGCTGGCTGGGTTCCAAGTTCCTGAGAAAGAGTTTCAGAGCTTTGATTTTCTTGAGTAAGTTGCAAAGATGCACTTAGAGATTTCAAGAAAGAAATGTGGGGGCAGACCCAGAAGGAAAGAGAGGGGTTAGGCTAGATGGGTAGAAAAGGGGGAAAAGAAAGTTGTGACAGAGCTCAATATCTGTTAAGGCATATTCAAATTAATAATAAATAAGGTGTCCATTTCTGAAGAGCAGAGCGGCCCAGCGGAAGTCATAACCCAGAGGTCAATGGATTGAAACCATTCTCTGCTACTGTCCAGTCGATGCACATTGTCTTGTTAGATTCCAGGATTCGCACAAGAACACCAGGCAGAAAAAAAATCCTGTCACTCGTGACGATGATGCTGTTGCTTTGTAGTTCTTGTCCTTTTTTCATGTTGATGAAAATTAATCTTGATCAAAATTGTGTCTTTATTAACTTTTTAAAGCAATATCATGTTGGGAAACAATGTAGCATCTTGGTCATTTTCTACATGCTGCAATCTTATCACTACTTCTTTGCTGAGGTGCTAACACGTCTCAGAATGAAGACCCACGGTGACAGAGGCCACCTGCCTGATCCTTCCTGTCTTTAACTAGGATGGAGCTCCAGATAAAGTGTGAAATTAAAAAACCAATAGGACAAGGGTAAAAGTCGGCTCTCTGTGTGCCGGTGCATTGCCTGCGGCTCCACTTTCATCGGAGGCAAGAGTGGCCAGAGACATGGCTGAAATGGCAAATGCAGGGGGAGAGGTGAGGGGGGTGAGGAGGACAAGGAGAGGGGACTGAAGGAAAGGGGGAGAAAGGTGGGCGTGTTGAAAGTGAGAGGTACACAAACGTTGAAGTGAGTTTTCAGGGAGTTAGCTTTCCAGACAGAAGCATGGCAATAAAGATTCCAGGAAACTCCAGCTCTGAAAGAAAATAACAGAGAGAAGAATGATAATTGACCCTCCTGCTATCACTGATTTTAGATGCTCCTGAAGCTAGCTCTTCCCACTTACTGAAATCCAAGGTCAGGGGCCTGTTTGTCCCACAGACCTGCAGTCTCCAAGGCTCTGTCTGCAGCATTAACTGCAGGAATATTCCCCACCCTACTGGGGCACAACTTTCCTAGTAATCCCCCTGCAATAAATACTCCCCACCAACTGTCTGCATAATGAAGAAAGAATTTAGGGTTAAATGGAATGCTCACTATAATCAAACTCAGTTGGCACCACTGAAGCCGGAGGATGGGACCAGTGTTCCTGGAACACTGTATTGATTTACAAATTAAAAATCGCCTGGCCCTGAGAGCCTGGGTAGCTCAGTTGGTAGAGCATCAGACTTTTAATCTGAGGGTCCAGGGTTCAAGTCCCTGTCCAGGCGACTGCCCCCCTTTTTACTAAGGGCAGTTAATAAAGTCCAGATAACAGAGCCAGTTTACAAACACCTCCACAAGTGGGGAAACTTAGCAAAGACATTGCCCTAAAAACTTCAAGTTCCAGTGTTTTCATTAATTATCCTTTCCCACTGTTAAAGGAAACACTTCCCCAAGTTTCTAAGAGGAGTTGAAAAGGGGCACCATACAGAAATAAACTAGTGATAGGATGATTGAAAAATAAGTCAACTGAAAGTTCTCTTGAAATGATTCATTAATCTGGGAGTGAAGGAGAGCAATTTGGGTGGACCTGACCAGAATGTGGGAGAGCAGTGCCTTCTAGGTTCTCTGAGATTCCCCACGGTCTCAACAAGCTCTTCCTACATGGGAAATTGGTGGATCCTTGCAAAAGACCCTGGTTGGAAAACATTTGAAATTGTCTTAGCTATTATGTTTTGTGTTGACATGAAACAGTTCCTGTTGTTATCTGGGGGGGTAGGGTTATGGTTGAAAACCCCAATCATGGCCTTCTAGTGCCACATGGTGTCTCTGGGCTGTGCCTGAAATTACGCCGCTGGGACCACGCAGGCACAGAGACTTCAGCGTGTTCTTTATTTCTTTGTTTTTAGCCAAATAACATGCCATCAAAATACTACACTAACACAAAATCCATTGGGTTAGTTCTCTTTCTCTCTCACTATATTATTAATTTGAAATAATTAGGTCCATGTCATTTAGATTCTCTGCCCCATCCTTGTTTATTTTATTATTTTTGTGAATACATGTCTTAGTTGGTCTTTAGCAGAAATGCAGTGATTAAATGAAGCTAGATTAGATCTTAAACTCGGCAAAGATAATGAGTTCCTCTGGCTCAGATACATTTGGCTGAAGTAACAATTAAAATCCTGCCTGGATAGAAACTTGAATTCTGGGCCTTCAGACTAAAGCTCTGATATTATAACCACGGAGCTATCCAGTATCCCACCAGAAGTGATAGCTCATACTATAAATAACTAAATTGCTTAAGTAATTTCTATCTTTAGGAAAGGCTGGGGACACCCATAGCTTCAAAAACTGGCAGGATCTTCCAAAAGTGTGGCTGGGCCACCTAGGTTGTTAATCACTAAGCAGACAATTTACCCTCCACATTGCATTCATTAAGCAGCCAATTAATGTGCACAGTTTCAGGGAAAATAAAGATTATACACAGAGTGAATTATTGCCAAAGGGCATTCTTCAGTCCGGGCAGAAGCTGAATAAGGTCGTCGGAGACCTCATTTACTCACATAGGTTTGAAGAGCGGCGCTCAGGCTCTCTCACCAAGCCTCAGGGAGACGCTGAGGACATGAATCTTCCAGAGAATGAAAAGAAGCTTGTAACTTTGACACAATGCAGCGTTGCAGCGTAATCAAATCCGGGGGCCCCTTTCATATATATTGTATTTTGCAGTTTTAGAATGAATGGAGCGTGTAGGTTCTGTTAACCTAAGAGTAAAGGGTCCTTCAAAGTGAGAGGCAACAAGCATTTATTTGACATCAGTTAAGAATGGCTATTTGGGATGCACTGGCTCAGGCAGAAGCCCATATAGTGTTCCAGTCAGGGGACAAAGGCAAGAGGTCTGTTTGAGCAAGAGAAGGGGAACAATGACATCAACAGAAGGAAGGCGTCGCTGTCGGTGCAGAAAAGCTAATCTAGTGACACTGATTCTAAATATGTTCTATTTTCAGTCTAGTAGTCATCGTATCTCCTTTTTTGTTATCTTTGAAAACAGTTCTTTGGGGCACAATGTTGCTTTAGGCCCAGTCTAAGGTTATTTTGTCCTGTTTTAGTATCCAAAGATTTGAGACCCGAAACGGGTAAAGGCCTCTGGAGAGGCAGCTCGGACTCCATTTTAAAGTGGCTCCGTTTCTATTCTTTTTCACTGGTCTTTAGAACTCGGGGGTGGGGGGAAATCCAGGGCTTTCCCAACCCACCCCGCCACCCCCAATTTTTCTAACTCATTCAAAGACAGAAATGAGCTGGCAGACGAGGCAGGAACTGCCTGCCTCTTGATACAGCGGCTCCTTCCTCCAGCGTCACAGCGACAGCCTCCGGCATCTACGAAAACTGTTTTTTTTCCTCTTGAACTTCTTAGACTTGCGTCATCACGCACGTTCTGGGCGTGAAGAGACATTAGCCTCGGATCACAGCACGAATTTGAGCTTGTCAGGATGGCCGAGTGGTCTAAGGCGCCAGACTCAAGCTTCCGCTTCCCGTGCTCGGGCTTTCTGGTCTCCGTATGGAGGCGTGGGTTCGAATCCCACTTCTGACAAGACCTTTTGTTACTGTTGTAATACCGGGCAGGAAAGGAGCAGGTAGAAGGACCTCACGGGAGTGAGGCTCACGGAGCCGCACCTCCCGCAAGTTTCCTCTTACGCGTCCAGAAAGTGAAAGCGCGCTGGCACTGTGCCAGCACGCCGGAGTGAGTGCTTTTGCCGTCACCCCTTCCACTCCAGGGACGCGGGGTGAGAGGTGCAGGGTTACTTCTCAGCACCGTGTTCTCTGCCTCCACCTTGGACGCCTGAGCCGGCGCAGCGCGGTTTCCCTGCGGACCACGAAGCGCGGTGCCGTTCGGCCCGGAGGCTGGCCTCCCGCAGTTCCCAGCACGAGGCCTGGGCCCACCCGGGCCTGAAACCGAAGTCACCCTGACTCCACCTTGGCGCCCAGTGATTTCAGCTCCATTTCAGAGACTCCAGCATTCGGCACGAGCCCAGCTCGTCCGCGAGGACGCGGGAGCTGGTCAGCGAACTGCCCCTAACTCTGCTCAAAAACGAAGGTGCCTGAACAGCGCGTTACTGTGCTCTCGGCCTGGTGCCTCTAATGCGTGGCTGTCGGAGAGTGTGACCTCCCGCCCTACGTCTTGCCCACCCGAAGAACTTGCCCAACTTGCTAAACGCACAGAAATCCGAGCATCACTTCTGTCGATTCCCTTTCACAGTTCAAGAATACTTACTCTGCACCTGTAGTCGTGGCCGAGTGGTTAAGGCGATGGACTAGAAATCCATTGGGGTCTCCCCGCGCAGGTTCGAATCCTGCCGACTACGGTTGGAGCTCTGTTTTGCTAAACCGCTCACCGCGGGGCTCCCGCAGAGAGAGCACCTGCACCTGTCTCTGACCACAGCGGCTGCAGGTATCTTACCTAAACGTGCCCTAACGTACCCCGCAACACTCCAGAGCCCCTTCTCTCCCATGTGTTGCCCACAAAAAGCCCAGTGAGTAGGGTTGTTTCCTCAAAAACTTTGCTCGAAGGGCAGGGCTCAAGGCTGTCTCCGTTTCACTCTCCCAAACCCTATTAAGTAAGCTGTTTCAAAAAGACAATTTCGTGAAAGTGTTTCCTAGTAGAAAATAGTCAAAGTCTCAAAAGAGGAGCTGTTTTTACTTTATTTTAAAATGTATCATAGTGTAAAATTGGTAATAGGAACTCAGAAAAAATATTTTTATGATGATGAAGAGATCAAGATCTCTTGGAAATTAAAAATACTGTTAAAAACCCTGTTATTAGACTACCCAGGACACCAGCTATAACCCACCAGAGAGAATAACTTGTTTAAGAGGTTTTATCTCTATATTTTGCAAGTGCTACTTAGTCCTGTAAAAAGACTTCCTTTGGGAATGTTTTGGCTCTACTCCCATGAGTTACAGGATCACAGTTTCCTCAGGCGCTGGAATTGTATTGGGCGAACATAGTCCAGTCTGGTACAAGGTCCCAGGCCTTAGAAGGTGCGCACTATAATGGTTTTGCATGGAATAGATGTTTTGCAAGTTCCTTGTATTTATTTGTTCGTTTTGAATCGCCGAGACCATTGGAAGGAGAGGTGGGTCCTTTGCACGTTTGCTCATCCGGGTTAGCAGGCGAGTTGGGTTTTTTTGGTTTCCTCCTTCCACGAGCGCCCCCGAGCTCAGCGGCGGCCGAGCGGGGCGTTCTCTGGTCGCCAGCAGCTGTTTGTTCAGCGAGGAAGGCCTCTGTCGCCTCGCTCAGTTTGCAGGTTCTCTTCCGCTGTGTAGGAAGTCGTTCTGCAGTCCTGGGAGATGCCTGCGCACCCGCTGGAAGTCTCACCAGCACGGACTCCGGGGAGCATCTGGCTAAAGCTGCGGAGCGTCCTGGCTGCGCGGGGCAGCCAAGGCAACGCCGAATGGGGCGGGACTCAGCAGGGTGTGGAGGGTGGACTCGGGAGAAACCGCGGTCAGGACCTGGAAACCTGATCTGCAGCTGAGTCCAGGAAAAGGTCTGCGCAACAGCAGTAAGCACACCTTGAGTGCAGTTGGGAGCCTTCGCTGGGCACCTGCCTCACGATGGAGGCGAGCAGATGACCTTGAAATGCGGCGTCTCTCATCCTCTCCTTAACCATCGCTACATGTGACAAAATTCAGACTTTTTCTTCAAGCACAACTTTCCAATTTTGTCTCAAACACATTTCTATTGCAAGTTTTCTTCTGCGAATTTGCCAGAAATCGATACATTAAAGCTCGCTGTCTTACAGGAATTAGACCTGATAACTACGTAATCTAGGTGGAGAAAAATATCTCATGGCCGAGATTTAGCAGACTTGCAGATAAGAGACATGAAATCTCTAAATTTAGTTTACCTATCTGTCTATATAGGAACTAAGAATACCAACTTCACCAGGTTTTTAAAGACTAAATCATATCATCAATAAAAGACGTTCAATCCAGGGATGTTATGTCTAAGAAATTCTTGCTCATTGTTTCTGAATGAAGAAAGCAAGGACTGGGACTACTAACTTTCCGAGTTAATTGTAGGGGGGAGGTAGACTTCATAGGTTAGGGTACTCGGCAAAAAAAGTAAATTAAAAAATAAGATAAAATCCCTTAGGATTTGTCTCAAAAGAGTGTCGTGAGTGGATGTAGATTAAAAATGTTAACTGACTACGTTCAGTAGAATTCCTCTAACTCACCATGTAGAAGTATGGGAGGATGCTCTCACGTGGGGTTCCATGGTGTAATGGTCAGCACTCTGGACTCTGAATCCAGCGATCCGAGTTCAAATCTCGGTGGAACCTGTCCATCTATTTTCCTTTTTCCGCCTCTGGGAGAATTATTCTCCAGGTTAAATGACCTGGTGTCTCCTGACATCTGAGTTCCTGAAGTCCCGACATTCCTACATCCGTGCAGAATAAAATTCCACCCTGGTTTAACGGGATGTATTTTATAAGGAAGAAAAGCGCGTCGGGAGGTCAGAGTGAGAAACACTGACGGCAAATACACCTTGTGATAGAACATTTGCCCTCCTTTGAAGAGAAGTCCGGCGAAGACTCCTTGTGCTGCTGAGCCAGATTCACCGTTTGGTCATGGCCGAGTGCTTAAGTCGGTGACCTAGAAGTCTGTTGGGATCTTTGGAACCTTTTGTAAAGGTTCCTTTGTAAACTGGAACCTTTGCACAGGTTCCAATTCTGCGTCCTACAGTCAACACGTACTCGTGTGGGAACTGGCTGTGTTTCCCAGGAAGGAAAATCTCCCAAGGCGATAGTTCTTGGTCCCAGTGAAAAACTCCATATGTCCCTCCCATAATAGTACTTCTCCATCATTTATTACTTTAAAAAAAAAAGGAATTAGAACACAGTCCTAATAGTAGTTTTTTTTCCCCTCCTCTCCACTCCCAAGAGAGCCTGGGCTTTGGTGATGCCCTCGGTTTCCTGCCGTCAAAAGCCCGCACTGAAGGCGGCCTTTCCTACAGAAAACACTGTTTGCTTTCCAAGTAGTCGGACCCTTCTACAAACATGTAGAAAATTCCAGGAAATCTTGGATCATCTAACGGAAAAGCCAAGACTCAGAGCGAAATGGTCACCAAGTAGTAAATCCAAAATGGGTATTGATAAGCAAACCACTACACATTTCAAGAAATTAGGGAAAGACATGTTCTTCGTAATTCAATCAAAAAGAGTCGACGAAGACATGCCAGGCTGGCTCGTCCTGGGGTCCAGGACAGTGGTGGAGAGAGAGGGACTAAAAATGGAATAAGGTTTTGACTCATTCTGGGCACCGAGTTCAGATGCCACATCCCACTATATGATTAACAAGTGTGAGTTAATGTATTTAGAGAACGCTAACCACTGAGTATCTCCCTGGGAATCCCTAGGAGGAGTCAATCTATCTCTGCCTTGGCAGCTTGCCATTCAGTCTCTTTCCACCCCCATTTTTAAATGAAAAAGCATTCTCCATTTCTGAGAGCAGCTGTGTACCTTCTTTCTTTATTATTTGATAAATTTACCCAAGGGCTTAGCAATTTTATCTTTTTTCAGATAAAATGTCAGCTTTGTAAATAATCTCCATTTTATGTTTCTATTCTAAAGCATTATGTGAGCCATTTTCTTCATTTCCTTCCCTGAGATTTCTTTGTGTAATATTTGTTGATTTTCTATTGTTTTTCCAATGTATCACTGGATCAATGCTGTTCAGTCTTTATTTCTTTATAATATGTAATTTAAAAATCCATCTAACTGTGTTTGGCTACACAAAACATTTTCAAAGTAATTCTTTTGATCATGTGTATTCGTATACCGAGGCCCACAGAATGGAGGACACCAAATGTCCAGGCCCACGTCAATAATCTACAGCCAGGTCAGCCTGCACTTACCAGAAACACATCACTGTCAAGGTGAGGTAAGTCCTTGGCCAAATCATGGTCCCTGAAAACAGAAAGACGGAGATCGAAGTCACTGGTATGTTGTTTCAGTGGACAAGAACCATCTTCCTCAAACCGCACTCTGCCCAGTCTTGTACTTGCCCTTCCTTAGCCCCGCATCTCTTCTGACTCCCTGCCTGTGGCTGCGCCCGTGGGTGTCCACACTCCTCTCTCCCACCCTCTCTCTGCTCCTCCTCTTCAGCGTGTCCGCGCGGAACCCTTTCCCCTCCGTTTTCCTCCAGGTCAAGGTGGAATCACATCACCCCACCGCCTGCCTCTGCCCACGCAGGGAGATACCTTGATTCCAGGTTCTTCTCTGACCCCCTCCTCTACAGTGGACGGGGACTCCATCCCCTTCAAGGACTGGATGCACTGCAGTAGAGAAATGTGAACGGCCAAGGTCGCGGTCATGGGCATTCGTGGTCATGCTTCTCTGCTTCATCACGTATTTCCAAGCACTTCCGAGAGTCCAGCAAGCAGTGAGGGAGCAGGCAGTGGAGGCGGAAAGTAAAGGAAACTGAGGGCATCTTCCATTGTTTGGGGAACGTAGTTGGAGAGATGAAAACGAGGTCACCCTGTCCGAGAAAGAGGACAGGAGGGTTGTGGGCCCTCTTCGTGGTGAAGGAAGCAGAGGCCAAACGTGAGAAGAAAAGCCTAGCAGAGGATGGTTTCGATCCATCGACCTCTGGGTTATGGGCCCAGCACGCTTCCGCTGCGCCACTCTGCTCTCGCCCGCAGCGTGGTGAGCATTTTACAGGCTCAAATCTGACCACTTGCCCAACACCTGCATTTCCGTGTTGAACGTGGTTTCTGTCTTCATCATTTCTTTCTTTCCTGTGTTCATCTGTTCTCGGTTTTGTCTTCTTTCCCATCATACATTCCAAGTCACCTTCAGTGTCATTGCCACACAGCTTCCAGCAAATCTTCAGTCCATGCAGGTCTCCAAGCCTGGATGGATCCTTCCCCAAGTCCGTCACCACTTTCACTCTGGTGATTATTTTGGGAGAGAATGGCGTTGAAAACGCTTTTTCTGTTTACTAGCGATTGAGAATTACACACCCAGACTGCGCAGCCGGACTCCCCTGGCTCACTGGCGGGTTCAAACATCAACTCTCCTACTTACTGTGATTTGAGTGATTACGTAAGATTTCTGCATCAGTTTCTTATCCTTTAAAATGAGGATACAATGGTGTAATATGCTTCAAAGTGCTTAGAAAACATCCTTAGCAGAGAGCGATCTTCCCATTAAAGGCTGTATTTTATTTATTTTGCTAGATAAATATCTCAATCAAGGCAAAGAATGATTTTGTTGTTGTTTTTACGAAAGTAAGACAGGTGTGAAAAAGCGTTTGGCTCTGTGACTTTTCACAATGTCCAAACAGCAGTGTGACCCAGAGTAAAGTATGTCACAACCAGCAGCCAGAAGTTCCCACAGGACCCCCGACACTTCCCACCAAGATAACCACTCTCCTCTTATCTAATAACACAGGAAACTTTCGCATTAAAAATGTATATAAGTACAAGTGTCCAGATTCACTATTTGTGTGTTTTCTTTCACTCAGTAGTATATCGAGGGTTTGTTGACTTGTATTGCCGTACGGTGTTGCATTGTAAGAACTCGGCACAGTCCTCTCACAGTTATTCTACTGTTGAGAGCACAAAGTTGCATGTAAACGGCAACTTTTCTACAGTGGTGGCTGCGGGGGGGGGGGGGGGCCGGGGAGGGATAGTCCTTGCTCTGAACAGACCGGAGAGTCACCGGGGTCTGCAGAGTCCCTGTCGTTTCCCCGCTCCGGATCCCACTTTGAGTTCACGTGAGCCGGGGATTCCCAGCCAACCATTCCTAAAAGGGGGACAAAAAAAACAACAACTAGAAATAACGACGGGAAGAAGAGTATGTCCCGTCAATTATGAACCCCGACCACTCGGTCGAGAGCTCTCTGGTGTGACCATTACACCACAGGCCCCCACGGGCAGGAGCGACGCCGGCGCCCTCACCGGTGGCAGGTGTCAGCGCGTCTGAACCCGAGAGTCGTCCCCGTCCAGCGCGGAGACTCGCGTCCGGGGTCCCGCCCGCTGCCGCCTAGGCAGCCGCCCCTTGTGCGCACGGCCCCGGTGCTCAATCCCGCAGCTGTTTGGGATCCGCAGAGGGCGGCCCGCGCTTCTCCGCCGCTCTCCGGCGGGGCCGCCCGGCCGCAGGGCGGCTCCACGTGCAGGGGCCGCTGCGCTGCCGGGGGACGCGCGGCTGCTCCCGACCCCGCGCCCGGACGCCCGGAAGGGACGCCGGAAATGCTGGCCTCGGTTCCCGGAAACGCTCTGCCGGTGTGGACCGGAGGGCGCGGACGGAGAGCTCCAGCGCCTCTAACCGGAGCTGGTCTGACAAAGCTTCGACCTGCCTCTCCCAGGCTCCTCGGCAGTGAGAGTCCCTGGGTCCAGAAGGGGACGTGAGTGTCCGGGCCTGTCCACCGCCGGGGATGGCGGGCACTCGGCCGGAGCGGAAGGATGGGAACCGTCGGAACCGAGGGCGGAGCCGGGAAGCAGGCGTCTGGCCTGAGGGTAACAATGGCAGAAGGCAGTACTGGGGCCTCCACACGACCCCTGGGAGAGAATCGCGAGCCCCCAGGACGTTTTTGATGCACAAAGACAGCCGCTCCGCGGGGGGAAATTCCTCCGCAGGAACGAGCCGCTAGTTAACGCGGGCGGGGCGCAGGGTGCCCTCTGCGCGGGAGTGGCTGCCTCCCCCACCCGCGGCCTCTGATCCACTCACTCTCCGAGGGGCCACAGTCACTGGGAGGAGCTACCTGGAGTAAAAACAAAAACGTGGCCACAGGAAGTGATTTCTTCCAGTGAATTCAGAACTCTGGCTTGCAATGTGCAATCCCCCTCCTCTGTTAACTAATGAGCCACAGGATCAGACTCAGTGACGGGCCTGCATGGCCGACTCCGCGCCGAAGAGCGTGAAGACTGGTAATTAGGAAGGAGAAATTCCATGCCGACTGATGTGTCCGTGCTATGGACACAGAATTAAGCAGAATACCAAGCACTGGCTCTGCCCATGGAGATTTTGGTTTATAATGATGGAAAAGCCAGAAAGTATTAATAAATTAACATCCACATTGGAAGTCTTAGGGGTACTGAAGGTAACTGGGGGCTGATAGCCTATTCTTCAAATAAGAATAAAAACTGCATGTTCAACTTTGACCAGAGATTGAAAATACGATTTAGAAGGGAGCCTTGGCCCCCTCACCTTTCCATATACAAGATACAAGATAGGAGCACAATCGATGGACTGGTTTCACACAATTCCATCGTGAAAGTCAAAGAGAAGTGGAGGGAACGTTGATGAAGGGACCCCATTCTAAGCTAGGGCTATAGGTCCCACGTGCCTGCTTTGAACTGTGAAAGGTAGGTGACTTTAGGGAACACTGGCGGTTACCTGGGTTTCCGCCCTCAGTATAAGTGTGAGTGTGGACTGAGATCCGTTCCACATGGCAGGAGGTGCTGGTCAGGCTGAGGGAATTGGACCGAAGTCTTCGTGTTCACTCAGGCATTTTATTTATTTTCCCCAGACAAAGTACTGTTGGCTAATTCTCCCCCACTTTTTCTACAACAAAAAATTTATTAGTCCAAAGATTCATACCATATTTTGGCTCTGTATCATATTGAATAAAATCTGTGAAACCCCCTTTCCACAAGTGTGCCCTAGGTGCACACACATACCATTTTGCAAACTATTTCAGAGGGCTGGTCAAACACTTGAATTCCATGGACCTCAAGCTAAGAGTCTTCTACATTGGACTTTATGTCATAACCTGAGTTTTAACTAAATAAGAAACGTTCTGTAAGAGATTAAGCATTATATTGCTAAAGTAAAATCATCTCTTAATCGTGGCCGAAAGTTTCAGTAAACTGGGTCTTGTAAATTAGGTCAACATCGCATCCATGACTGAAGCCAAGATACAAGTTAAACTGGTCTTCAGAGCGCTCTTGAGGCACAGATACTGGAGATGCTGTTTGGGGAGATGACTCAGGCATAGGTAGGTCAGATGGAATGGAGAGGAATAGGCCCATTTTAATCACAGGGTAACTTAAAGGGAAGTCTTTGGTCAAATGGGATAAAATCCCAGAAGTTTGGAGATGCAGAAAATATGACTAAAAATTGTACTTTTGGGTAAGTCAATGAATATTGACTGAATAAAATCATCTGAATGTCTTATACAGGATAAGATGAATATAGACTTTAAAATAAGTCAACAATGACAAGAGTAACCAATGAATACATAAATAAGTGGATCCACAAAGCAAAGTCTCCTCCCTCTCTCTCTTGCTCTCTGCTTCCCTTCTCTCTCTCTAAAAATCAATAAGCAAAAAAAAAAATTAAAAATACTTGAGTAGTAATGTCTGCTTCACATAGAAAACAGGGAGAGCCCTCCACAATCCTACAACTCAAACTACACTAGCAATACTTTGGTGTATTTTCTCCCACCATCCAGATATTTATAATGCAAATGTTTTACCTAACTGAAGGAATACAGTATATACATTTTTCATTTAACATGAAAATTTCTCATTCTCATTAAACAAATTTAACATTAAATTTCTCTTCTCATTTAACATTATATCATGTGCTTCTTCCCTGAGCTATCACAAACTTTCAAAATATTGTTTTTAATACTTTGTAAAAATCTTACTGCTATGTACAATCTAAGTTAAATAATCATTCCCTTCCCCCATTGTTGAAAATGTTTGTTATTTTAATTATTTTATTGTTATAACTAAAAGTGTCATAAATGTCTGTGTATATAAGTAATATGCTTTAGTTTGGATTGCTTCCCTAGAAGAGTTTTCTTCAAAATTAGCTTCCCTGAGTGGAATTTAGAAGTTGTTAAAGTGGCGACAAGGGCCTTGTCCCAGATGGAGAAGGGATTTGTAATAGCTTCTCCCTATTCACCTGGTCCCTGGGCTGCAGCTGCCCTCTCTGGGGAAGGTTAAGAGGAGAGGTTTTCCTGAGGGATGAGTTCTTCCAGCATCATTTCCTTCAGCTCTTAGACCCTTCCTGCTCTCTCACCTGTATCTGCACTTAGGTCAGATTTCAACCATTTCTGCAGATCTGGACCTGCCATCCTCTGCAATTAATTGCCTGTGTCATTCACTCAAAATAAATCTATATATGTACACATGCTATTGGTTCTGTTTCCCTGGAGAACTCTGACTATGGACACAGTCTTTTTTTTAAGGCATACGTAATGCAAATATCTTCTCTAAGATTAGCCTTGTACTTGCTTACTGGTAGCTAGTAATGAACAAAATTTTCCAGTGTTGGTGAAGTCTAATTTACGCATAAATATTTTCTTTTGTGGTGACTTCCTTTTTGTGCTGTTTTAGGAATTCTTGCATACTCTAAAGTCATGAAGAAATTATTCTGTTATCTTTCAGAAGCATTATTGCCTTACCTTTCATGTTTAAATATACAGTTCGTGTGATTAAGTTTTGTGTATATTGTAATTCATTTATTTTCATATTGATATACAGAGGAGCCACCAATTTATTGAATTTCACTTTACTGGAAACAAAAACAGTCTTCCCCTAAAGCACTGCATGATCATGTTTGTTTTAAATCAAATGACGGTATGAGTGGGTCTGTTCAGGATGTTTTCTCCCATCCCAATGTTTCGTTATCCATCCTAGGAAGTGCCACACTGTCTTGATCGCCATGGTTTTATAATGGCAGTTTTTTTCTTGCATAAAACAATTCATAAAGTCTAATGTCCATTCACAAGCACGTTGCTTGGAGCTTCAGATCTTGTTGAAAGGAGCAATGATGACACTCTTCAAATGCTCCTGGAACTTGGGGTCTCCTCTTCCCGCAAGTGTGTGACCATTTTACCGTTGGCCTCCACACATGTGATCTTGCGGAGGCTCGAGTCCAGGGGCATCAGCCTGGCGTTGCCCAGATGAGCCAGTGCAGCTGGATGGAGCACACACAGCCCCCAGCCGCGCCCTGCGGGTATCATCAGCCCAGGGTTTGATGTCTAAGAGGATGGAGGACTTAAAGCAGTTACGTGGCCTTTTTGACCTCGGCATCTGGCCCAGTAGCTCGTCGTGCGTGCACATGGGAAGCAGAGGCCCGGCAACCATGTTCTTATTCACTCCCAAGGAGTCTTCTAAGTCCCCTGTGACTTAAACCCAGGTTCTCCTCTGGGCCTTAAAGTGGCCGTGGCTTTCATAACTTAGAATAGCACTGAAGCGTTTCCCTGGTCAGCGCGCTGGACTGGGAGCGACGCCAGCAGGAGAGGTGCGGGTCCCCTGCAGCTCAGCTCCCAGATCCCCGCAGCGGCCGTCGCCCAGCGCGCTCCCGAAGGCGGAGGAGCGGCGGCTGCTCCGCGGAATCGGGCACCCCTGGGTTCTGCAGCTTTCCCGTTCAAGAAAGGTGGAGTACAGGCAGCACTTGATCCTAGGCAGTCACACGATTGCTGGGAAGCGAGAAGCGGTGGCTGAGTACAAACAGGTCCTTGCACCCCCCGGAAGATCTGAAACCCAGTCTCCCGCGCCACCCGGGCAGGCAGTGGGATGCTCACCACTGTGCTAACGAGGACGAACCCATCTGAACCTCCGCTCCCATGGCATCCATCCCTGACCCAAGACTGCAGAGAGGAACAGGGCCCTTTCTGTGGGGGAGTAAATCGCCCTGCAGAACTTGCAGGGTGTCCCACACCTGCGCGGAGGCAACGTGGGCCGAGCAGTGATCGCGCACCTTTGGGTAAATGGAAGGTGATTGTAATCTCTACCCCCATTGCTGTGGGGCTTTGCTCTAGCAAATGTAACTTCCATCCCCTCTCGGGGGCTGGGAAAAATACAACCCTTATAACCCCGTAGTCGGCAGGATTCGAACCTGCGCGGGGGAGACCCCGATGGATTTCTAGTCCATCGCCTTAACCACTCGGCCACGACTACACAGTTGTAAGGAGGTTTAGGTTCCAGATAATAAAGAATACAAACAAGGGTAACAAGCAGGCTGTGTAAGGTGATTACAGACTGTCAGGCGAAATGATTGTTCCCCATTATTTATGTGTATCAACCTTTTTTTGTGTGTAAACATTTAATCGAGCATATATGATGACCTTCCCAAGTCATTTGGAACACTAGTTTTAATTGATGTTAGATACCAAAAAAAAAAAAAAGAAATAAAAAATAAAAAAATAAACAACAACAACTAAATCTGTATTTAATAAAACTGGGAAATAGAAAGAAATTAGTGATACATTGGAACTAAAATTATTAATTAACTGGTTTTAGGGTCACAATGAACTGGGACTGGGTACAGTTGCGACTTTTTTACTGGCCCCCCCCAAAAATTGGCAGAATGGATTTCAGTAAAGGAAGAGAGTAAGGCTTGAGTGGCAGGGGGGAAAATTAGTTCAGTTATCATTTTAGCCCTAAACTGGAAACAAACCAAACGTTCATCTGCAATAGGAAAAAAAAAAAAATTCCCATACAATGGAATACGACACCACAAGGAGAGTGAAGGGACTATAAGTACACACAACCACATAAATGTAATCTCACAAACTGATAAAGCCAGACACAAAAGAATACATACTGTAATGCATTACATTTTTTTGAAAGTTTGAAAACAGGTGTACCTAATCTATGGTGTTGGAAATGAGAATAATGATTATCCTTGGAAGGTAAAGGCTGGGAGGTCCTACTACTCTTGGGATAAGTTTCTAGGAATCTGATAATGATTTTGCCCTGCACATTGGGTGCTGAGTTAAAGGGGTGTGCTTGCTTTGTGGAAATATATTGAGTTGTTCACCTTCATATGATTTTTTTGTGTATCTATTAAACTTCGGTAAATTTTTTTCAACAAATCCATCCACAGCATGTAATACTTTTGCTGTCACTGAAAGGTATGTTATACATGAATATTTATTGATGACATACTAATATATTCATTACCTCTTTTAAGTAAAAAAATAACAAAATCTTACTCACTGTGTAAATAACAAAAGCAGGGTTCTATCTTAAGTTATTAACATACATATATTCTGTGTATTTCCATCCTCTCTCCTGTTTAGTTTTGTAAGAAACTACCAAACTGTCTTCCAACATGGCTATACCACTTTGCACGCCCACCAGCAATGAATGAGAGGTGTATTGTTTCTTAAACTCAAAAAATTACTCATCTCTTTATTAAGGGGTCTAGTGTTAGAGATTAAAAGTGAGAATTTGGGACCAAATTACTAACTGAAGTCCTCACTTCCCCATTGCCTGGTTATGTGACCCTGGGCAGATTATTCAACTTATCTATGCCCCATTTTCTTTTGTTGTAAAGTAGGAACAATAATAAAGAAATAACTTCATTAGGTTGTTTTAAGACTTGAATAAATAGATATAATGCCCTATAACACTGCCTGGCACACACGGAGTGTTCAGTGGTAGCTGATTTCATGTGGTCTCACCTCTCTGAAGGCCAATTACCCACACAACTGGTTTTCTTTCCTGGTCTTTTTATCTATTCATCAAGCTTCTTTTGAAGCATGAAGGAGCTTTAAAAGAGTATCCTATACATAACTGATTCACTTTGCCACCACATCAATTCAATTCTTCTCTAGTATAACTTTTTGTTACTGAATTTTAAATATGTTTGCTATATGTCTTTATACAGACATATAGTATTTGTATAAAGATACTTTTCATTTAGTATCTTTTTATTTCAAGGCGTTCTCTCACAGCTTTCTCTCATGTTTCATTTAGGCCTTGTTTTCTTGCAATCCGCTGAGAATACCAAATTGTTTCTTTAAATTTTCTAGTTCCTATAGATCTTTCCGGAAATCCGCTCTTAAGAGATTTCTAGATATTGTTCCTTTTCCTTTGACTGCGTGCAACTTTGTTTTCACATACTCAGTATTAGGATTTCCAACTAACAGATTGAATACTTGATCTTAGCCCCAGTCCAAATGCTGAGGACAAAGAGAAGCACAGTAAAATTCGTAGGCCACATATTTAAAAATAGAAAAACCTACTAACTTCTGTTGGATTCTTTCCTGCCCAGGACACGCTGGGAGACTGGCATTGGGCTCATTCGCATCTACATGCTGGCGAACGCAGACATACACAGCTCCACAGTCGGGCAAAACATGGAGACGCCGCTTCCCGATTCGTTCAGCATTTCTTCAAATGTGGATTAAGAGTCATTTTGGAGTCATAAAAGCAATACAGTGGGTCGCGGCCCGTATTTTTAAACGAAGGAATTAAACCCAACACTGAATTGAGTGTTGGACAGGTGTTAAAGGTAAGGACTGCATGGGGTAATGCTTGTTTGCTTTTTACAATTATACGTGTGAAAATGTGTATTTCTAACGATCTGTCCAGTCACACAAGCTCCACAGTCAACTATCCAAGCAAACCTCCACCTGGGCGGCTCAGGATCGAATAACTTGCAGGTTGACCTTGCACGTAGACCCTCCAGGCCCGCGGCACCCAGTTACAAAGGTGGCGGAGGCCTCTGGGAAATGAAGTTCAGCGTGTGAAGCATTCTGGGAATCGAAGTCCTGCGTGTCCACCCGGCATTTTAGACACCCGCGAGAGGGGGCGGGGCTCTCAGCTCGCGACCGGAAGTAGCCGATGAAGCCAGTGTAGGCGGGGAAACAGTTTGGCGCTGGGGAAGTTCAGAAGCTCTGGCTCCTTTCCCTAGATTTGGGGACCGTCCCGGAGCTTCCGGACGCGCGATCCGAGCGTGTGAATCGCCGAGGGCGGGGAAGCCCAGGTATCACCATGGCAACCGCCAGGCCTCCGGTTGTGTGACGTCACCCTCCTCGCCCGGCGGGGAACGTCCTCTGCGGGAGGGAGATGGGGAGTCCTGGAAGGGGGCGCCCCTCGCCGCCTTAAGCGCGGGCGGTTCCGCCCTGATCCCGTGGAGGGCTTTGTTCTTTTGTTCCGCTCTCGGTGGAAGGACCGGAGCTGGGCTCCGCCCCGCTCGGCCACCTTCCAGCTTTCCACCCCCGCAACAGGTGTGTGTTCCCAATCCCAACCCGCAAGCGTGTGCGGAGGTAACTAACTGGCCGTCATGTGTTCGCCTCTGGCCTGATTTTAGGGGAGGCATCAAGGGTTTTCTTAATGCAGGCCGAACCCTCACTCGAGGTCCTCTGGGTTTTTTCAGCGGGAGTGCCTCTTGCTTGTTAGTGCTCTCCGAGCACTTCTCTTTCCCAAGGAGCTCTTGGTCACCACGCAAAACTCTGTGGTTTGATCGCGACGCTTGCTGCTGACCCATCCCGTGTCTTTTAGGTCAGCCATCCTTACCCTGTGTTAAGGTTCAGAGCCCTTGCCTGGACATCTCAGCCCCAGACGGAGGACCCAGTTGGAGGGACGCTGCTTGGGAAACCCTGGTGACCAGGTTCCGGAGGAACAGGATGAGCTCCTGAGATGGAAGGTAGTGGGGACGAGGGGGGGGAGAGCGCGATGATGGAGGCAAAAGAATAGTGTAACTTGATGATCAAATACTTGACAGCCGAAGAGGTGGAAGGAGGAAACCTTATATTTAAGGACCAACAAAAGAGCGAATTACATGACGTGGAGAGACTTGGAGGAAGAGTTAGCTCTCCCTGGAATGAAAAGGAGCAATTATTCAGAATGTCTGTGATCCTCACGTGACTTCTGTTTTTTAAATATCAGAACAATAATCTTGCATTCAGGAAAAAAATCTTGGTAATCATCCCTTCAATGCCAGAATCAGTTTTTTAAAACTTTCTGGGAGATGGCCGTCTGTTATGCCTCTGCCTAAACAAGTGTGGCATTAAATTCCCCATTTTGTGAGCAGACTTTTCCCTTGTGATTCTTTTTTTTTAGTTCCTTTTATTAAACAGAAGTGCCTGTTCTTTAACTTCTGCATCAATCTTAGTTCTTAGTCCCCGAAAGCAAAAAAATTGTTCTTGCTCTTACTCTGCTGACCTTCAGATATGTAAAATCAACTGTTAGAGTTCCTATTCACAAATTATTTTCTAAGCAAAGTAACCTCAGTTCCTTTGATGCGCGATCATGTGATGTATCGAGATCTCTCTCTGAAAACTACTGCATGACTGCATGCTTCTTAAATCTAAACATAGTTCAGTGATGTGCTTTGAAAAATGCCTTTAGACAAGTGTGATGTACTAACTACTTACAGTTTGGATTATACTTCTGTTTAGTATCAGATTGTATTTGCTTTTAAAAAATTAGGTATATTAGGTTGTAAACCCTAGATTTTTTCTTTTTACATAAATTGCAGTGTACTAGATTCTTGCCATCTTTGGTTAATAGAATTGTTTTTTATCCTTAATGTCAGGACTTCGCATTTATGATTGTTCTAAATATTTTGGCCAAGAGCTGCAGCTTGTCAGAATACTTAATTTAGTTATTCATTGTTTTAACTATTTTTCAACTTTATATAACTAGCATGTTGCATAAAGTATTTCTTGTATTTCTTCCTACATGTCATTGAACAAATCTAGGTAAGGAAAGACCTGTGACATGTCCTTTTAGACTTTCCACTGCATCGTCACTGTCTTTACATTCTTTAGGTATGACTATGCAGTCAAGTTTGGTTTAACCTATTATTATACAGTTTTTTTCTTGCATTTAAAAATATTATTAGAAGTCTTAATATTATTTGTATTATGTATGTTGAGCTATACCTTATATTTTCTCAGTTCTATTTTTTAAGGGGTACGAAGGATTGGTTTTATTTAAATCTGCATGTGTAGCTACAATTATCTAAAAAATGTTTAATTAAAAATCAACTCTCTCCCATTATATTACTAATAACAATTGGAAATCATAATAATTTCATTTATAATAGCACCCAACATATGAAATAGGAACATATCTAACAAATTTGTTCAAGATCTGTGCACTGAAAGCTACAACATATTGCTGAGAAAATTTTTTTCCAGCTTTACTGACCCATAATATTGACC